GAATACTGTTCCCCGCGAAAAGCTTCACCGACTGCACGACTTGACCCGCCGAGTGTAGAGACATCCTTACATGAAAAAACTCCGCTCAAGCTCACTAACCCACCCACCTGAAAGGCTATTTATCTACAAACACGCGCGTACACACAAAACCCAGCTGATATATTTACAAAACAGACGCAGGTGTACCAGTGCGTGTGCTGTGCTTTTGCAGAGTAATAAATATAGTATTTCTTGAGATATAGAAGAGATCAAATGGTCGAGGGCTTCTTGTGAATGGCGTGTGGAATGTGTGGAAAAGGAAAATTGTGGATTTGGAGATAAAAAGGGGGACGTTATGAACCACCCGTGACGCGCCTCCCTTCAACTTTAATTGTGAATTCTTGGAGTTGGCTTTTCGACCTGTGCTTATGATGTTTTTGTTTTGTTTCGGACTTTTTTTTTCTTCTTTTTTCTCTCTGGTCGGACTGTGAAGTGATGGTGTAGGTGGTGTGTGTGTGTGTGTTTTTGTGTATTGGTGGTTGTCTGACCTATTGTGGTGGCCAAAGGCCAGTTCATTAGATGGGATATAACTGTATTTTTTTACTTTTATTTTTTTCTCTTGGTGTGTATTCTCTTTAGGGGCTTTATATAGACGTGGCCACAGTACCAATAGGGCCGACCAGAAGCCCGAGCCCGTTGACTCGGTTATGGGCCGAAACTGGAACCAAGTCGGGTTTTGACCGTCAAAGCTTATTTTGACTCATGAGTTTCGAATCAGATAACATGTCAGGGTTTCATTCGAGTGATCTGACGCACCAATCTACACAATTCAAATATAAATTATGAATTTGAACAGTACGAATCGGCCCAACCTGGAACTAACGGGTCCAACGTTCATTTTTTACTCCAACCACTGGGGTTTGTGGTCGTTGCAAGATTGATTTTTTGCTATAGACATGGTCAAAATCGGTGCCGACTAAAATTTTAAATACTAACTACAATTTTTTTTAATCCATGTAAGCAAAAATATTGGTAGAGACGTAGTTAAAAAAGCTTTCAATATTCTCTCTGTATAAAATTCGTCAAATCATTTTCGGCGAGCCCTAGCAGTTATTCATCTGGACGTACCTCCCCCCCCCCCGGGCCTAATACCTACAATCCTGGAGAGCAGCTGACCGGCCCTAGGCTTGGTGGTGTGCGGCTATGGGGATCCCTCGTTTCTTCTTCCCAAAAGTAGTTCGTCTCACCCTAAGTACCATGGAGAGCGAGTAGTGACGGGATTCAGCGACGGTTGGGCTCTGTGGACGCCGCGACATCTATGCGGAGGTCTAGCCTTGGCTCCCCCCCTCCCCCCTCCTCTCCGGCCTTCCCTAGTGTTAAGAATGTGCAGTTCTCCGGCGGCGCTTTCATGGTTGCGTGTGCCTTCGGTGCGCTATGGAGTGGACCGACCTAGAAAGGTTTGCGGATTTTCTGGGGGTGGTTGTTGGATCTGCGGTCTGGTTTTTAGTTATCCCATTAGGGGAGTTTCTGGTCTCGTCAATTTGAGGTGTTGTTCTCGTGGCTTGTCTCGGATGTTCGCGTTTAGGTGTTAGCTTGGGCTGTGTTGGTGCGGTGTGTTCCTATCTGTGGGTGGCGCTAGTTCTTGTTTCCTTTTTTGTGTAGCGGTTTTCGATTTGTCAGTGTGTTTTTTGTTTCTTTGTTCAGTTTTGCGTTTTAGTTCGATGCTTTATTCTTATGCTAAGAGTTGTTGTATTTTCTTGTTAGGAGTTGTTATCTTCTCATGTTGGGAACTTTTGTTTTTTAATATTGGTTTTCTGTGTATATGTTAGTTATAAGCTATCTCGGTCCAGATATTTATAAGGTTTGTCCCCTTAACTAAATTCAGGGGAGTAGATGATTTATTCAACTATTTATCTGTTTTTTTGTCTGTAATCACATATTTTTCTTTTGTTGAAGTCTATTGTTTAAGTCTCCTCGGAGATATACGATTAACAATGGAATGATACAGAGAAGATTAGCATGGCACTTGTGTAAGGATGACACGTGAATTCGAGATCAACGGAAGTCTATTGTTTAAGAAAAAAAAATCTAAAAATATTGCAAAAGTGAATATCCTTTTTTTTAAAAGGAAATGGTACATTGTCAAACTAGTGTACAAGTAGGTTGACAATACAAGTGAAAACATTTACTTGTGTATTTTTTTATTTTTATTTTTTTGGATCTTTTCACTTGTGTTATCAACCTAGTTGTACACTAGATCTTAATTCCAGCTCAAACCAGTCTTAATTTTTGTGGACTCGAGCCACGAATCAAGATTTATTTTTATGTACAACCCGAGAAGCACGACGTCCAACTCCCAAGTCCCGCGTAGTAAGCAAAATCCATAACGAAATATAACTCCAAAAAAATACCTCTGCGCCTCTCCCTCTCTCCGCCGCACACGGCGGACCCATTGTCACGCCCGCCTATCTCCGGCAACTGACGGCCAATTCGCCTTCTCGAGTCCCATTATCTGCAATGAGCAAAAGAATGTCACTGACCGCACATCTGCGCAAAAACCATTTTCAATTTTCCCGCAATTTCTCCCCCCAACCAAGCCCAATCCCCGATCTCCAAACATGCATATCGTTTCTTCAATCGTTCTCCCAAAATCAAGAACTATCCAGGGGCAGAACGGTCCACGCTCTCATGCTTTCTGCCGGCCACCTCCCTTCCCCTTTCTCCGCCACCAGCCTCATCAACATGTACTCCAAGTGCAACGCCGTCGCCGACGCTTTCTCTGTTTTCCACGAGTCAACCGATTTTCACAACGTGTTCGTTTACAATTCCATTATAGCCGGCTTAACTGGTAACGGCTTGCCAAAGGAAGCTTTTGACGTCTTCTGCAGAATGCGGTTGTCCAGCGGCCTGGTTCCTGATAAGTTCACCTTCCCTTGTGTTATCAAGGCTTGCTCGAATGTGTTGGACTTGAAAAACGTTCATGGGTTGTTGTATAAGCTGCAGTTGGGTCTCAATTTGTTCATAGCTAGTGCGCTGCTGCATAGCTATTTGAAATTCGAGCTGATGAGTGATGCACAACAGCTGTTCGAGAGATTGTCTGTGAAGGATGATATCGTCCTTTGGAACACCATGATTAATGGATACGTGCAGATAGGTGAATTCAACGAGGCCCTGTCGATTTTCAAGAGGATGGCCAGCTATGAGGTGATTCCTAACAGGTTCACTGTTACCGGTATAATGTCTGCTTTGGCATTAGCCGGGGACATTCACAACTGCAAACTAGTTCATGCTTTTGCTGTAAAATTGGGATATGACTCGGGTCTTGCAGTTTCGAATGCCCTAATCGACACGTATGGGAAATGCGGTCAACTTGTGGATGCGTTGACGATCTTCAAGAACATAGTAGATAAAGACATTTATTCATGGAATTCAATCATTACTGTTCATGAACGGTGCAGTGGTCACGAAGGATCTTTGAAGCTTTTGAAGGCGATGTTAAGTTCGGGCTTCCGGCCCGATTTAGTCACCATAACTGCCGCACTTCCCACTTGTGCGAATTTAGCTGCATTGATGCACGGTAGAGAGATACACGGCTATATGGTCCGTAGCGGGCTCGACAAGCTTGGCAGCACGTACTCTACAAATGCGATCGTGGACATGTATGTAAAATGCGGGAGCATGAGAGAGGCCCGTCTGATTTTTGAAGGTATGAAATTATTCGCAAGAGGGACTTTTCTCTCTAACCAAAGATACAAATATTCTGAAACAGAACAGTTTATATATAGCGATATAGAATTTCAATTTCTTGATCACAATTCTAAACTAAAAAAACGAAATCTTAAATATTTTTTTAGCAGGTGCTTACTTCTTTCTTAGCTTAGTCTTAGTTTAGAAAAAAAATGATTATGCTATATAATATGGGACTGGCTGGTTTTTCGAAGGTATGAAAATAAAAGACGTGGCCTCGTGGAATATCATGGTAATGGGGTACGGCATGCACGGGTTCGGAAAAGAGGCAATGGACTTTTTCTCTCGAATGCTCGACTGTGGATTGAAGCCCGACGCGGTCTCGTTCGTCGGGATATTATCCGCTTGCAGCCATGCGGGCTTCGTGGACCGAGGCCGAGAGCTTCTTTCAGAGATGCAGCCAAAATACGGAGTGGCCCCAACTATCGAGCATTACTCGTGCGTGATCGACATGCTCGGGCGGGCCGGGCGGGTCGAGGAAGCCCATGAGCTGATTCTGAGTATGTCGGTCGAGCCCAATCAGGTCGTGTGGAGGGCTTTTCTGTCCGCGTGTAGGCTCCACGGGAATGCTGACCTGGCAGAGGTGGCAGCCCGGAGGGTGCTCGAGATCGGGCCAGGTCATTGTGGGAATTATGTGTTGATGTCGAATGTTTATGGAGCGGCCGGGAAGTATGATGAAGTGGCGGAGTTAAGACACACGATGAGAGAAAATGATGTGAAGAAGTCGCCTGGTTGTAGCTGGGGTTGAGCCCAAGATTTTTATTGATGGAGATAAAAATCATCAAGTGAGTCTCGACGTTGCCAGGAGAGCAAAGTGAGGAGAATATTCAATATTGTCTGTTGGTTTGTACTGAAGATTCAAAGTATGTTTAGCTTTCAGTGGCTGAAAATGATGGTTCGACGTCACGTGATATGAGAAAAAAAGCATCTTTCTCGATTCGTGTTTGAGAAAGAAAGCTTAATTGAATGAGTCCTACAGGTTGAACTTGCAGGCTTGTCATATTTTCAAGTTTCAACCAACATTAAGGTACTTTTGTTTTTATTTTGAGTTCATGCACTAACCCAGCTTTCTTTAATCTCTTGAATGAAGAGTTGATGGTTAAATACCATAAAATTGACTCATGTCTGACTGTTGATCCTTTTGCTGTACAAAATTCATGAGATTCTTGTTGAAGCATGAGCTGTTTAGACACCTTCTGAAATGAACAGAAAGTGTATTCAGTCTAGATTTTAATGACTTTTAAGAATCTTGGACATTAACATAATCGTTGGTATTTGTTTGTTTTTGCAGGTTTTCTGAAGGGAGCTTGACAATAAGCCCCAACCCAGCGTTTTGCTGTTTTTTTAATTATTAATTTTTTTTTTTTAATATCAACATAGCCTTTAATAATAATAATAATAATAATAATAATAATAATAATAATAATAATAATAATAAATAAATAAATAAATTGTGGGCAACGATTCATGCACACCAACCTTTCAGAGTCTTGGGAAAAATCAATGAGAAGCATGTCACTGGCCGACCAACAAAAAAAATCAAGAGTGATGATAACAATGAGAGCACACAGAAATTGGAAGGCCTAAAATATCCCACAAACAACACTAGTAGTCAATTAAATTGTGCGATGTCAAATTTGTGCAACATACTTGATTGAATTTTACACATAATTTTGAAATGAAATGGTTGGGCATTCATAAAAATATTATCTTAATATTGTTGTCATATAATGAAATGGTTGAGCATTCAATATTACTTTGCTTTGTTAATAACTTTGTTTATAATAATTAGTATAATTAAATTGAAAGAATTGTCCTTATAATTAAATAGGAGAACTTCACCCTGTCCACACCAAATTTTAAGATCAACCCACACTCTCTAGATTTGGTAGACCAATAAGCTAGCTTATAGCTTATTTGGTTAGTTTATAAGCTCTCTATATTTAAATAAGTCTCGTTTGATAGGATGGGCTTTTTTAAAAAGCTCGGGCTTATTTGATAAGCTTCTTTAGGTAGCTTTTCAAATAAGCTAGTTGAATTTTTTATCACAATTAGCTTATCAGCTAATTTTACCAAATACTTTTATCATATAAGCTAGTTTTTCAGCTATAAGTCATAAGCTATAAGCTAAAATTTTTTTAATAAGTTATAAGCTAGCTTATCAGCTAGTTATACCAAACTTAGCCAAAGTATATGTATGAGACTTAACTCACAATTTAGACGGTATTAAATCCAATATAAACAAATATATAGAAAAATGTTACAGTCTCATTACAGAATCATTATGTCGGTGATGTGGTCGTCAGTAGCTATTAGTTGCGGTTCATGAGGAATCGGTTGTGATCCGGGCTTTAGACGCACCCAAACAGGGTGGTTCAATCGGGTAGGCGCGGCCTGTGGTGTCTCCAGAGTATATGGGTGGTAGGCAGAGCCTAGCTCGACGTGAGCTAGGCAGGGCACCTTGATACCTAGGTAGCTGGATGTTCCACCGAGGGGACCAAAGTTTGGAGGTGGTCTTGTGCTCAAGTCATGAAAATGTTCACAACCTCAAAGACTCTTAGGATTTTGGCCTAATCCAGATGAAGACTCATAGTATGCTAAGAACTATTCAACTACTACATGACCTCATCTATAAAAAGGCACAAATTCATTCATTCCACACAACACACATACGTATTATCTTGTTACTCTGCCGTTTTCTCTCTGGACTACCACTGACTTGAGCGTTGGAGTGTTCGCGCCGGGACCACCCCGGCGTGCTTTGCAGGTACCGCGACTATCAAGGATACGTAACCCGGTTCGAGAGGAGCGGTCCAACGATAAGTATTTGTGGTACAACAGTCGGGATTTGTAACCGTTAAATTATTATGTAACTGTTATTGATAGTTAATTCAGCGGTTATAAACCCGACGAAATAGTTCCATAACGTTTATAAATAGTGGTACCCACAGTTTATACACAAGTTGGGGATTGAAGAAAAATAAAGATTCGCTATTTTTTTTACAAGAGAGTACTAGTGTTTGCAAATTGCAACCGACCCTTTTCAATTGAGCTGCACCAAAATTGACTGCTGACTTTATTTCTTCTATTTTATCCTCTTTTTCTTCTCCCTTCCCGATACTTTCGCTGCCCTCACACCATTAATAAAAAAGAGAATTTTATATATATAATATTATAATTTTATTTTATTACCCATTCTTGAAAATAATATTGAAAAATATTTGGCCCTTGAGAATTAGGATTAGAAATTGAGCAGTTTTCCTTCTGAAAAAATGGATTTTTGCTGTGTTCCCTCTATTTAGAAAAGCATAAGCAAATTCCACTTTTTCTTTTTAGTTTTTCTTTTTCGGATTAAATGTCTGAATTGGTGGCTCGAACTGGCCGGCATCAGCAGCGCTACGAGGATGGCTACCGCCTCATTGCTGGGTAATTTCTCCATTTTTTTTTATTTTTTTTTTTGTTTCGTTTGGGTATTCACGTTTACATGCATGGGCTTGTATTGATGTGTAGTTGGCTGCATGAAGACTTTGGTTTTGGTTTTCTCAATTGGGTTGATGTGGAGAAAATTTTGGGGTTGCCTTTTGTGTTGATGTGCTCTGGAATTGTTTTGTGGGTTGATGTAAAATTGGGTTCTTTTGTTTGGTGAATGAAATTTCTGTATATACAGGTTCATTGGGTTATCTGGGTGTTTGGGGTTAATGGGTTCTATTTATTTAGGGTGTTTATGAGGGGACATTTGAGGGAACTTTGTGTGGATTGAAGTCCCTTGTAGTTTGTTCAAGTGGGCAGGGTTTTGAATATGTGATCCATGACTATTAATGTGTTTTTGAAATGGGCAAGAAGGTAGAAGTTTTCCGGGTTTCGTCTTTACCGTCATTCCGTTTTATTTAGTATTGGTTATACGAGAAAGTATCGATTTTTGTCTTCTATAACAAGTATCATTATCATGTACAGGTGTATTCCCTTCAAATACAGGAACATGGAAGATGGCAATGGCTCACCTGAGAAGATAGTTGAAGTGCTAATGATCAATTCAAATAGCGGACCTGGTCTTCTATTTCCTAAGGTTAGAAGTGTGGTTTGGACGACCTCTTTTTCATTTTTGGATAAATGGGAGTAGATGAACGATGCATTCCTGATTTTGTTGTTATCTTTATATGCTAAGCAATCTTCTGCTGATAAATATTGATGAGAAACATGATTGAACTAATTCATGGCGATGTTGTACCCTTTCGTCTCCGCACATGCATATTTTACTTGTTTTGATCATTTAAGTCAACCAACCTATCCTCTGTAGAGAACAATTTGTTTTTAATTCCTTTCTATTCTCACATAATATGTTCTATACCATCTGAGGAACGCATTTCATTATAAACTAGTAAAGATACTACGATGGTGGCAGAACATGTTTATATTTTCTATACCCTTCATGTGATATGGGAGAAACAGAAAAGATATTCCAGTAAATCGATTTTCTTCTTGGAAAAACGTCGGACAAAAAGGTCAAACTCAAACAGTTGGACAAAATCGGTTTTCTTTTATACTTTCTTATGCTAGACATCAATTGTGTTTTGCCTGACATAAATCAATGTGACATATTCAGCATTAATATCCGACTTTGTCACGCGCAGTCCATGATAAAACCATGAACAAATTGATATCAAGAACATTATTTAGCTTACGCGCTTTATTTACTTCATATAGGGTGGATGGGAAAATGACGAGACAGCTGAGGAGGCAGCAGAGCGAGAAGCCATGGAAGAGGCTGGGGTTCGGGGGGATTTAGTGGTAGGAGGCTTAACTCATTTCTCGCCCTTTTTTTCCTTTATTATAATAAATTGGCCTACAATTTTTATTGCTCGGTTTTGTGTTCTGATCTTTTGAATGTGAGTGATTGTCAGATAATGGGGTGTCAAGTTGATCTGAATAAATATTGATTGTTATGATGGTCTTAAAGTACTCGGTGCTTCTTTCTTTAAAATTGGAGGATCCGAACTATAAATATCTATGCATCAGGTTTTACATCACTTTAGCGTATTGGGTGCACGACTTTAAATAATTTACAATATGAAATTGCTAGCTCGCACATGAATTTGATCTTTTTTTCAGATTTAATTAGGCTTGTTAAGAAGTACTCTGAAAGTTCTTGGTCCCAAACTATAGGCTGCAGCATGTTATGGATACTAATGAGTCTTTTTCAAATGATAAGATAAGCTTCTAGCATCTTTTATGTGGATGATTGATTACAATAATTCTCAATTTCATATGATAAGATAAGCTTCTAGCATCTTTTATGTGGATGGTTGATTACAATAATTCTCAATCTCAAGGGTAATATTTGCAACTATCCCATAGTTACACATTTGCCTTTCGGTTCATCCACTCGATCTTTACAATTTTATTTTCCCCCTCTTTTTTCAGCATTTTCTTGGTTGCTATTCTTTCAAGAGCAAAACACTCCAAGACGAGTATAGCCCAGAAGGTCTATGTAGAGCTGCCATGTACGCTTTGCATGTGAAGGAAGAGCTCGAGTGCTGGCCGGAGAAAAGTCAACGGGAGAGAAGTTGGTTAACTATACAAGAAGCCATCGAATGCTGCAGGCACGTTTGGATGAGAGAGGCTCTCGAGAATGGATTTTCTAAATGGTATGCAGATGGCATGATGAGGACTCTGGGAAAAGGGGAGGATTCGTATTGGTAGTTTTTCTTCCGGAAGTTTCCTTTTTTTTTTTTTCTTTTTAAAAAGAGGATCAATAGGTTCCCCACTTATTACCCCTGTATGACTCGAACTCAAGACCTATTGGTCCCAAGTGAAGTTTCCTATTTGGTTACCTTATTCGATGGCTGATATTGGTGCCAATTTATTTCTAGTTAGGTTTCAACTTATAGTTGTATGAAGTGCACACACAAGTTTCTCACCGTTGGATCACATGCACACACATACATACCAATTGTGTGCTGATCCAACGGTGAGAAATCTGGTGTGAGCTCTACTACACACATGTAGGCTCGAATCTACCGTAGTTTGGTTTATATTTTATTTTTGTTTTTGTTTTTTGTAAAACAAGGAATATATGAAAGTCAGATGGAAATGTAATTTTATGTTTAGGTGCTTCTTGATTTGTTGGGAAGAACTGTTATTTTTTGTACTTTCAGACTTTTATATTTTATTTTTTGTTTTTGTTTTTTTTGTACTTTCAGATGGTAAAGTTTTGGTAAAGTTTTTTTGTCAAGTTATAACATTAATTTTCATCAATCGAATTTACGATGAGTTCAGTAAGCCCATTGGCTTGGGCTTCTCAATCAGTTATGGGCTTGGGCTTCTCAATCAATTTGTCCTGTATGTGTATGTGTTGGTAATAAAGTGTGTAAAATTCAAACTTTTCACAATCCACCTAATGAAAATATCTTGAACATTAGTGAGTTTTTTCTTATTAATATTTTTTTTATAATACTTTTCATTAAAATTTAAGAGTTTTTTCAATACAAGACTCAAAAGATAGATAAACTATCAAATCGGGACCTGAAAGATTTTTTTTTTCTCAATTCGAGACTTGAATATTGTAAAACTATCAATAAATTTATGAACATTGACCATACGAACTTAGAACGGACTTTATATGTCGGTATACTAAATGTAAGTAGACATACATATGTTATCCATATAATTAGTTTCCCTTTTTTTCCTCTCTTTCTCTTTTCTATTCCCTTTTATGAACAAAACCATTTGAAAAGAACACTGCAAAATTTGTTGCATCTTGGTAAGAGATTGCACATACAAACATGTACAGATGCATGTAGCTTTTATAATGAATAATGCATTACATATAATTATAATATAAACAAAAGTACGGTATTTCATATTACAAGTATGAAATAATGTACAGTTTGATGAGCAACAGAATCTATCGTTTCGATCAAAAAAAAAAAAATATTCTAAGTATGCATTTTTTTTAGAAAGCATGGGTGCCTAACGGTTAAACAGTTTAATTTATAAATTATAATTAATTACATTTACCATCAAGAAAAAGAAAAAAAAAAATAGCTTTATTTGAACACATCATCAAATATCAAAATCATCACCTTCATTCCAAAACCCAGAAGCCATCAGTCCCTGAAAGCTATCCACCATCTGTACCGGGCCAGAAAGCCCGAAACCGAACTGATCTGGCCCGTTTTGAGCCATTTCAATAAACTCATCATCGCCAGTTTTCGCCTCGACTACCGCCGCAGCCTTGCCCGACCCATCTCGACCAGACCCGAACCCGTTTGAGTCAGGCGTGTCGGAGTCTCGGCCCGTGAGCTCCTGGACTAGGGCCCGGAATTCGGAGGCGGTTGCGTTGAACTTGATAGGGTTTGTTATGTACACAACTTTGAGTGGGCCCTTCTTCTTGGCCTTGCTGTTTGGGCTTTGCTGTTTGCTTGCCCTTTTCATTTTCTGGTCCATTTTTTTTGCTTCGTTTTTTTTTTATGGTTCGCAAGAAATGGAGTGCGTGCTGTGTGTACGTGTACATATATAGATGAGAGATGTTATGGTCTCGTTACAGAACCATTTCGTCAGGGTTTACAATCGTTAAGATCAATTGTTCCCGCTAGTTACATAATGATCTAACGGTTACAAACCCCAACGGAATAGTTTCGTAACAGGACCGTAGCATTTCCCACATATGTATAAGGGAAAATATGTAAATTAAATAAATTTTTGGGAATTTTGTTTCTTGATAAGGAGATTATTAGAAATCAAAATGAGCCAATAAATGAAGGTGGAAGAAGATTGCTCCAACTATGGAATGCAATAAGAAGGCGCGTGTGCTAATATACACACATGTTGGTGTGTGTTTGTCTGTGTGATGCTACATGGTATATTCCAAACCTTAGGGTTAATATATATGTATATATAACAACAAAATAAAAAAACTAAAAATCAAATACTCCATTTTTTAAAGAGTTCGGAAAATTAATTTTGTATATATATATAATATACATATATATATATTTTTTTTTTTGGTGTAAAATAGTAGGCGAGTGCCTTAAACGATTACATTATAAGGGTAAGAAACCCCTAAAATATCAGGCTCAAACCACAGTTTCACCCCGTGGGAGGGTCGTAAAAAATGTGAAGCCCACTCAGCATGCATGATCGAGGCCACTGATGCAAAATATATAGTCTGCTGCAAAATTCTCTTCTCGATAAATATGTTGAACCTCTACTCTCCATTTCCTTGGCAAATGACAACAATTCCCAAACTCCTAGAATAATGCTACTACGATATATTGATAATTAAACGATCACGAGAACATTTTTTAATATATATAATACATTAAATCTATGGATTAAAAGCACTTTAGTATGGAGAGTGGACATTCTAAATAGCGAAAATTTTATTTGTATATAATAATATGTACATATAAGTATATATATTTGACATATGAAATAGGGTCAATTTAAATATTAATTTTATTTAACTTAATCTCACCTAATGTACGGGTATAAACATCATAATATATAAATTACTATTATTATAAAAATTTAGCATTACTGAATTACTATTATAGATAATTACGATGATGTAGAAGAATTGATAATTTCATATTAATTTCTAAGTTACTTATCCAAGAGGAATAGCCTAGAAGAAATAGCAAAGCACGTGCTTTGACATAGATACATTTATGCACCTATAAATTATAATTATGTGATATAAAGTTGAAATTAATGTACACGAAATAGACGCGACCACGTCCCGGCCCTGCCCGGCCCGTGGGTTGCCAGTTCGGAGAACCGACATCGTGGCTTTACGGGCGTTCTCCATTTCTTTTTTTTTTTTTGTCCCGGCGGTCCGGGACTGGGTTGTCCGGTTCCACGGGCCGACTCCTGAATTTTGGCGAGCCGATTAAGGGTCATCTATGGGAGGCCCGCTTGCCCGGCGGCCGGGCCGGGCCAGGCACTTGGCCATGTCTAACACGAAATTGACTTGGTGACAGAGGCTCCTGTATGTTACAGTTGGGGTGATTTGACAATCAATTAATTAAATGATATTTGTAATTCAAATGTCCAAATTAAAGAACAAATAATATAATGTCATAATATGTTTCCTTCTCTTTAATATATACTTGCACATATTATCCTTAATATGTAAGAAAATAGCACCTTAATGTGCAAGCAAAAAACAAACTATCAAATAAATTCGTCTCCAACTCCTCAAGTAATGCCAAATTTTTAATATATGTAAAGTTATTTGAGTCGAGTAGCTCGTGTTCGAATTCGTGCTCATGTAATAAACGAGTAAACAAGTTGTTCACGAACATGAAATGTCTATTGGCGATTAAGTTTGGCTCGACTGTTTACATAAAATTCATAAAAATAAAAATTAAAGATAAGTTGTTCACAAACAAACTTAACCCATATAACAAACTAGATCGATTAATTTTCTGAGCTCGGTTCTTTTAGGTAAAATAATAAGTCGAGTTCGAGCTTTTACGAGCTGAATTGAGTTGTACTTGCAAACATATCATGTCGATCGACAGACTGTAATATCATCCACCACTTTTGAACTATTTTCAATAGTTGTGCAAATTATAAACTTCTAGATGGTATTAAATAATGGTTTTTTTTTTTTTTTAGAATAGTAAAAGACCATGTCAACATAGGTATCGATTAAGAACAAATTTATATATTTGTTTATTTTGGAGCAAATTGACTATGGTTTCAATGTTAGCCAAGAAGAGGTACCATTCCTTGTTGTTTCTAAGTTGCGTATTATTGTTAAATAACTACTAGAAGAAAGAAAGTCTTGTTTGGGTCCCACGTGCAATTTCATCATAATTGATGGGTAGGAGGAGAAATTCATGAATTTGTTGAGGCCACTAGGAGATTATTATTGGTGTTCCTAATATAGTAACTTTTTGGCATTCATTGGCGGCCTATCTATGGTTACAACACGATATCACCGATGTGTCTTAACCTCGTAGGGTTTTGACATAGTTGTGATATAGGCTTTGCCTCCTTTATTGTACCAAAAAAAAAAATGTTTGTGGGAATTCATTTTCCCCAAAAGATTAAAAAATGCATGAGATTATGCATTTTCGAGTCATTTCAATGTTCCCAATTGAGTCGATAGTCACTAAACTTTGGGAAAGTAAATGAAGCAACACAATCGTTAGGCAATAAAATGGGCTCATTGAGAGAACACGAAAGAAATAGCAAGACGAGTTGTCTCGCCTTTGCGACCTGCAGCAAGTCAAATCTCGAGCCAAACTCATTCGTGAAAGGCTCCAACAAACCATGAGATCCAAAATGTTGCACGGTATCTTCGGCTAGGAACCATTTTTCCTTCTCCATTTTGTGTTGATCATTAGGTTTTATGTCAAACCGATTTAACTATTAGCCCGACATATTGTTTTGCAGTAGAAATATACATTTTTATTAAAAGAATACACACACTTGCGCACACAAAAATTTTCTTTAAAGTTTTACTAAATATGGTAGAAATAAGGCAATAACAATCGCGATATAACGAAAAGTGTACTAAACTCCTCAAATAATGGTCCCATAGATATATAGAAATCACATCAACATTTCATGATTTTTTTTTTTTTTTTT